CTGTTCAATATTCCTCTTCGTTTCGTAACAATAATTTGTTAACAAGTATAACATTCGCTGCTTTCGAAATACTTAAATTTTTAAAAAAACACTATGTACGCAGACGCATCTTTGCCAAAATTATTCTACGTAATAACGTGAACAATATATCGATTCAGCTCCTTTTAGCCTCTCAGGCTCTGTTCAATTTCGTAACAATAATCAAGAATAATCGGAGAGAAACACACGGTGAACAACAGATTGGAACGATTTTGTGTTATGAAATACGACGTGCAATAAAACAACAAGTCCTTTGGCTTTCGCGGGATGAATCTATGTTACAGTTCGTGGCCATTGAACGAGCAGAAGTAATGATGATGAAGAGGGACAAGAACTGAATCGTGCGAGTGCGAGAGGACTTTGAGAACAGTTTCGGAAAGCGATCGGACGGATATCGGTGGCCTTCTCTGGCTTGCTCATTAATCGAGAGAAAAGTTCATCGGCTCCTTCATTGGCCGAAGGAAGTATCGTTCGTTTCTTGAGAAATTCGCGGCTGGCTGGCCACGCGGTGGTTTTTCAGCGAGCCGTGATGGAACAATTACCGGTTTATGCCGCACGCCGCCAATAAACGACAAACGAGAGGAAAATAATTAAAGTACATAATACTTTGCTATTTTCAAAGGACGCAACGTCGGTCACCTTTCTACATTTTACGTATCGATTAACCGACGATGGCTTGTTTGAACAGATTATTACGAAACGAGCGACGTAACAGCGATTTTAATTAAAGCGCTAATGGCTTCCAGTATGAACGAATTTATTTGTCGATTTCTGTTTCCGGGCTATTTTCCGGCGAGATGATATTACCGTGCGATTTTGTTTCTTTGGGTTGAAATAATTGCTGGTTCGTGCAAGTGTGTACATTGAAATCTCACTCCGTCAGAAAGGAAGTGGCTTCCTTTCCGGAAATGTTCCGTGAAATGTTTTTTAATAGAAATTCTTTTAGAAAAATAATATTAATATTAATATATTTAATATTATAAATAATATAATATTACAATTAATTAATAATAATATTCTAATATTATATATTTTAATATTATTATTATACATAATTATAATTTATATTAATTATTATTATAAATAATATACTATTACAATTAATTAATAATAATATTTTAATATTATTATTATAAATAATTATAATTTATATTAATTATTATTGTAAATAATATAATATTACAATTAATTAATAATAATATTATAATATTATATATTTTAATATTTAAATATTATTTTACATTAATATTAATATTATAAATAATATTAATATTAATATTAATATTAAGCTTTTAGAAAGATAATAATAATAGTAAACTGAACCTGGAAGGCTGAAAGATTCAAAATGTTAAAAAAATTGGAAAAAGAAATTGAATTCTTTAAAATACGATAAATACGTTTTGGAAACCTTCTTCACAGAACAACTTTAAATCGATTGTGAACGAAAAATTGACTGATCAAGAACGAAAAAGGTAAAGAAGAGTGATAAAGAGAGATATCGTGCAGGTGGAAAGTCTCGGGACGAGCAATATGCATAATATGGCGAGTCATGATAGTCGATAAACCCTACACTCCTCTGGATGTGTTATAATGGTCACTATAAAAGGGCTCGAGCAACCGAGATGAAGAGCTAAAGATCAACGACGAAACTTCTTAAATTAGACTTGCCTCTGTTTCAATCCTCCCTTATAACGAAATCAGACGGTTTAAAAAATAAAAGGTGGCAATAATAAGGTGTAATTGAAACCCTAATTCTTGCATACGAAATGCGATTAATTAAAGACAGCTGCAATTTCACCTGTCTGTAACGTAATTTCTCATGTCAAAAAAAAAAAAAAAAAAAACGTCCAATTATCCAATAATACGCGTGTCGATGCACAATCTTCTGCTTGTAGGAAACTTTGTAGAGTTTCGCTCTTCTCCTCCTAAGGAGAGGTTCTGCTTTCCAGTGTAATTTTCTGTCATTTGCCAATGCGATGATTACTAACGGTGAATGATGGTTTTTTCGTGGAAACGAGCTCTGAACCATCGGCGTAGCACGTGTCATCAGCGACTGTGAAGATAATTCCACGCGGGAAGTTGGAAACAATGCTGTGGGAAGTTGAAAGGGAACATCGATGATGATAGAAAATTATTATGTAAATTCGAAGATGAAACCATTATGTAGAAGACGCATAGAAATGTTGAAAATATTGTGAAGACAATTCGACGTGGGAAGTTGAGAAGAAACATCGATAACAATGGAACGCTAGTTACCCAAGGTCAAAACTGTTACATAAAAATATTCTAAAAATATTGACGAAATGAAGGAGACGAATATTTTATTAAAATTATCATGTATTATATATTATATTATATTATATATTATATTTATATTATTATATTATATATTATATATTATATTTATATTATTATATTATATTATATATTATATTTATATTATTATATTATATTATATATTATATTTATATTATTATATTATATTATATTATATATTATATTTACTATATTATTATATAATATATATTATATTTATATTATTATATTATATTATATATTATATTTACTATATTATTATATTATATTATATATTATATTTATTATATTATTATATTATGTTATATATTATTATATATTTTATTAAAATTATTGTATTTATAAAATAGTAACTAAAATATCAGAGAAAATAATTTCTCCAAAAATTAAAAAGAAACATCGATGAAAATAGAAAATTAGCTACAAAATTTAGTTCTATAAAAATAATAATTAAAATAATCAATAATATAAAATAAATACAATAATAATAATAAAATAAATAAATACAATAATAATAATAAAATAAATAAATACAATAATAATAAAATAAATAAATACAATAATAATAATAAAATAAATGATATAAAATAATCCAGAGATACTGGCGAAACATTCTTGGGATTCGTTTAGAATCGAAAGACGGGAGATAGATCTGTCGAACAGCCTTGAATATCTGGGATGGCGTAGCCCGAGGGAAGGAAGGTGGCTGTTGCAAATGCGCTTAGAAACGATGTAATACCAAGAACTTGGACTCTGAGAGAGCGGCAATAAACGTAATGCAAGCATCGCTTGGCAAGGATTCCGTGCGGCGAGGAACGCTTAGCCCGCCACTTCCTGGCCTTCTTGCGGGAATTCCTTAACCGAAAGTAACAAAGGAATCGAGCGATTGTTCTCTCACCGCTGTCGTAAAATTCACACCACTATTCCTCCATTTTTCGGCATTCTCTCCTTCCCCTTTTTCTCGCGACGGAGATTTAACTGCCTGTTGATAAGCAGTGGAACAAGATCGGACTCCGTTTGCGCAGTAATTGAAATAATTGGCGTGTAACATGGTCAGAAGATATATTGGAAAGATTCGAATTACTTTTTGTACCTTTTGTGTATATTTAATATTTTAGAAATTTATTTATTTATTATAAATTTATATAATTATATATTTTATTTATTTTAATTATTTTAATTATTATATTATGTTTCAATTATTTTAATTATTACATTATATTTTATTATATTTTACTTATTTATTACATTAATATAATATAATTATTGTGTTATATCATTATATTTCATTAATTTATTTATTTAATTATTTTAGAAATTTATATAATTAAATATTATATATATATTATTATCATTAGAAATTGACATAAAGTTTTTGCATACACGTTCAAGTTAACTTGGATAAATTACACACATTGTAGATGAAATCTACAATATCTCTATTTTTTTTAGAAAGAACATGGAGTGATTGTTCTTCGTTGCCAAGGTAGAAATACACAGGTGAATGAGATTGCATCGAATTAGATGGAAGAGAGTAATAGAATCAGCTGCATAGGAGCGCCAACTGGCTTACAGCGATACCACAAAGTTCATCGCTCTAGGAGAACAAGTTTCAAGAGCGAAGCTCGGTAAGGTGCGAATTCCGCGGGCGTCCCGAGTGTTTCCAAGTGAAGACGGTCTGTCACCTAATTCCAAGGATCAAGACAGTGGGTTAAGTACAGCGGATACTGGGTTAGACGTTGCACGACGAGTCAAATATGAAACTCCTCTATCTACCGTGAATTAATCTACCGATTAGCGTAACACGATCAACGAACTTCGAACGTGTTCGACTTCTCAATTGTGTTTCTTAACTACTTCCTTGTATATTAATTCTGTGTATTATTTTAGAATACCAAATTAATTCTGTGTATTATTTCAGGAATTGACAGTACCAAACTTGAAAACTCGAAGAAAGATGAAAAACAAGAATGGCAGAAGAATATTTAGAAAAATAAAAAATATGTGAGTCTTTAGTTTATTAAAAAGTCTTATCTGTAGTTTACTAAAATGTGAGTCTTTAATTTACTAAAAAGTCTTATCTTTAGTTTACTAAAATGTGAGTTTTTAGTTTACTAAAAAGTCTTATCTTTAGTTTACTAAAATGTGAGTCTTTAGTTTACTAAAAAGTTTCATCTTTAGTTTACTAAAATGTGAGTTTTTAGTTTACTAAAAAGTCTCATCTTTAGTTTAGTAAAATGTGAGTCTTTAGTTTACTAAAAAGTCTCATCTTTAGTTTACTAAAATGTGAGTCTTTAGTTTACTAAAAAGTCTCATCTTTAGTTTACTAAAATGTGAGTGTTTAGTTTACTAAAAAGTCTCATCTTTAGTTTACTAAAATGTGAGTCTTTAGTTTACTAAAAAGTCTCATCTTTAGTTTATTAAAACGTGAGTCTTTAGTTTACTAAAATGTGAGTCTTTAGTTTACTAAAAAGTCTCATCTTTAGTTTACTAAAAAATATTATTTAGTTTACTGAAACAATGTTTTAAGAAACAAGTCTTTGGTAAAATAGAAATTTTATCTCCGATTCTCACACCGATACAGGATTTTAGAAGACGTTTCGATAAATGATTTAATAAAAATCATTCATATAATAAAGATATAAAATAAGAAATTCTTCGATCAACGAACATATTTTCGCCAGCAATATGGCAACCGATCACGCTCTGTTGAGCACGCAACACACAAACACACACACGTCAATTATTCAGGCGCGCGTTTCTTAATTAGAATTTGATTCCCAATTAATTGGATTCACCTGGGCGATAAGATGGCGTGCTATGTTCCTACCTGGATATGTTTCTACGTGGAACCGCATTGCTGGAAATCCGAAACATTGTCCGTGATCCGGCCTGACGATGGGTCGCCGGGACGGAGTTAAGAATCTGCGGCGGTGGCAGAGAAACCGCGTCTGGTAAATACGAGTCATGCTGGAGGAGGCGCATTCCCCTGCCAGAGGCTCTCCATAATCCACCTGGAAACAAAGTTCCTGAAAATTGTTTCATTTAGATCAAACAATTCTTTGGAAAAAAAACAAGTTGGTAATAAATTCACAAATTTTCTAATTCTTTCTTTTGACTAAAGTTTCTATTATCATTGCATTGTTTAAATAACTTTTAAATCAGTCGAGAATGATTCAGAATGTTCACAGAGGTTTCAATTCAGATTCATTGTTTTCATATGGAGGAATCTTTGTTAACAAAATTTAAAGCGAGATTTAAGGAAGCAAATGAAAAATTCTGAGGAGATGGAGAAGTACAGGATGTATAAATTTATAGTTATAGTCAGTTAATGGCCACAAGTCTCATATGAAGCAAAAGCCTTCAATTGAGAATGATTAACAAGAACTCTTGGCAACTCTAAAACCTTGTCTAGCTAAAACATTCACTGACTCTACACGTTATCAACGAAATGACGTGTTACTCGTCCTAGAACATACAAACGATAAAGGAAAATTACCATGTTGAGAACCACTCGTCCGCGGTGCATTAGCCTACTTAGCTCAAACATAAGCGACGAAAATCACACTCCAGCCTAGATGCTATCATCCTCTAGAAACAAAATGGACGTGCACTTCGCCGATTAAACATTTCCTGCGAATCAAACACTTGTATCTCTTCATTTTTCACGCGGTCGAGGAGCCTTAACGCCAACAACGTCACACAGGCTCGACCCGTATGCTTAACCGTTCAAGCTTTGTTTGCTCCTCCGCGCACCATCTCACGTACAGACACTCAATCCCCGATAGGGAACGTTCAAGATCGTATACGTGGGACAGAAGACGGATTTTCAAAGGCTTCTATCCCAGAACTAGAAGCAAAGTGATGTTCTCGTGGGTGTTTCGACGGGACGGTTTCCCAATTCGAATTCAGATAGATGGAATATCTTTTATTTCTGGAGGAGAAACATTGTTCTTTTTCAATAGCAACAGTTAGTCAAGTAATTTTTATAAAGTGTTATTATTACAATAGCAGAGCTTATGATACAAATATAATGTGTTAAATATATTTTTATTATTATTATAATATAATATATTAAATTTATAATTTTTTAATTATATTTATAACATATTATGTGTATTAAATTTATAATTTTTCAATTATATTTATAATACATTATAATGTATTAAATTTATAATTTTTTAATTATATTTATAATATATTATAGTGTATTAAATTTATAACTTTTTAATCATATTTATAATATATTATAGTGTATTAAATTTATAATTTTTTAATTGCATTTATAATATATTATAGTGTATTAAATTTATAACTTTTTAATCATATTTATAATATATTATAGTGTATTAAATTTATAATTTTTTAATTGCATTTATAACATATTATAGTGTATTATATTTATAATTTTTTAATTTCATTTATAACATATTATAATGTAAATTTATAATTTTTTAATTACGTTTATAATACATTACAATGTATCAAATTTATAATTTTTTAATTACGTTTATAATACATTACAATGTATTAAATTTATAATTTTTTAATTACATTTATAATACATTATAATGTATTAAATTTATAATTTTTTAATTATATTTACAATATATTAAATATATCTCAATATTCAATTATAGAGAAATATGCTAAATATTTTAATATATTATTTTTAATTTTACTAGATGGCCGCCACTCTGAGAAACTTTTATAAATGCTCTTTGTTCGCTCATCAAAGGTACACTCTTTTATCTTCATTGGTGATAAATTAAATGCAGCAAGTGACAATGGATCCAATTAAAAGAAATTATCTCTCACCGCGTTCAAATGGAATATCTTTCCATTGTTTCAAAAAATTATCCTTTCTAACACGCGATTCCTTTAAAACCAGTCGTACAGATATATTCACCGAACGTGTCACGATGTTAATCCCAACGTAGATAATGAACGTTCCCAATGATCGAAAGTCAATCTTGATAAGTCAATTCTTGCTCGCTTCACGAACACAATCACTGCAGTTCAATCACCGGCTACGTTGAAAACGTTTAACAAATCGAGCCACTTCCTATCAACGATTGCGCAAGTTTTCCACGAAAGTCATGTTAAAACCATTCGATATGCATTTATTCGTTTACGAGTCTCTGCTTTTGTTTTCTCTCGCTGCTGAGCAAGTGGAATGCGAGATCGCGTCGGGATAAGCCTTAATAACAATTGGTAACAAACTGTATACGTTGGATTTCTTTTTTTTTTTTTCTCTTTCGTTCACGTGCGTTTTTTTTTTCTGCCTAAATGGCGTAACACGTGGTTGACGTGGATGTCGGCAGGGACACGGCGGAAACGTTCAATTGATTCTCTCACGTATGAAATCCGCGACTTCTACGAAGCGGCTGGCCCATGAATGGGCGCATATGCACTGCAGGACTGGGGAGTTTAAAATTCAATTACACCCGTTGGGTAGAGAATAATCCTCTAACCCTCGCGTCGTCGTCTTCCCCGCTCTCTCGCCTTCTTTCTCCCTCTCTCTCTCTCTCTCTCTCTCTCTCTCTCTAGGATTCTGAACCTAGCGGTTCGATATACAGGAGCAAGCATCTGTATGTACAGTGACGTATTAAGGGCAACAGCTTCCCAGTTGATAAAATTAAAAAAAAAAGAAACGGCGAGGAAATTGAAGTGAGAAATCGAAGACGCTGGTTAAAGGATTTGATTAAATCATTGGAATTCAAATTAGAGGATTCCGATGGAGAATAAAGTGGAACTTCATCGAAAGAGATGGATTAGTTGAGAAATTTCATTAAGAAAGCGACTGGAATACGTGTGCCTTCAAATGGACAAGGTAATATACTTAATTGACACTCGTGAGTTATTCGCAGTGAATTCGTTACCATCAGTTTTTCACGAAGTTAAGGAGATTGACAGAAACCTGGAAGATGTATGACATAAACAAGGTAAAATATTCAGCTGAGGCTCGTAAATTGAGGCTATCACTTTTCTTTCTCGATTGAAGGCCAGAGAGCATTTGATTGAAACACCTGACAACTGAATTTCTCTCAAGAATCCTCCAAATTTAACTGCAATCGCTGCAAAGTATTAGATCATGTAAGATTTAATCGTGAATCATTAGACGAAAATTTACGAGATGAATTTTCTCTGAATTGGAACAAACGTAACTTTTTTATAAAAAAAAATTCACTCAACTCTCTGACTACTGGTATAGTTTGAGAAATCGTGTCTGTAATGACAAAAACTCGGATATATCGATAAATTAATTTAATTTTAGATACAGAGATTTAATTTTAGTTTCTATGCACTTTTAAACACGAATATGTCACGTACTTGTCGAGCCAAAGTCTGTCACTGAATTTAGAATTTATTATTTATTGCTCATAGCTTAATGCGTGTTTAGTGTTAGGAACATTTACGACTAGTAGTTGAAGTTACACTTAACACTAAAACTACCAAAGTGGTCAAATTTTTCAATTTATAATTTTTTAGAGTAATTTCGCGGATTCACAATGTTACATTTTTGTTAGAAATTCGATTGGTAAAATATACATTTTTTAGAATATCGATTTTGTAAAATATATGAATAAAAGTTTGTGTTCATTATCGTATTACAAATCTTCTTATATTCCCTGCATTCTAATTTGTTTGACTCAATTTTTATAGTTCAATTTTATAGTCCTCGGTAGTTCTAGTGTTAAGGTCAAAGTATCAACCGGAAGCCATCCTTAAGCTACAAGGCAAGAGAATTATGTACAATAAATAAATAATATTACGTACTTGTCTACGAGATGACTAAACTATTAAGATCGTTCCATACAAATTTTCTTCGTTACAGTTTCGCAGCTGACGATCCACGATTTCTTTGAAACTTCGCTACAACGAAGCAGCTCACCTTACAAAGTAATAAAAGAGAATCCAAGGCCGAAAGCATCTCCGCGGTTTCGTCGTCGGTGACGTGTGAAGGCCAGTTCGATCCAGGACTTTCGACAATAATAACCGATATCGACGATTCGCAGAGACGTTGCACGCGCAAATGCGCGAAGTGGAACCGGTCTGCAACCGAGCGTAAGTAGTACGAACTACGAAGCTTGAAACGAAGATGATCGCGTGAATGTCTTTGCGTGAGTCGCGAGGAGTCGAGGTGAGGCTAACTTGGGAAATACATGCGCGACGACGGAAACGTACGCGTTCCGAGACGTTTCGATACGAAGTTGTACAAACTTCGCAACGATCGCGAGGATCTGTTTTTGCAGCTGTGCACACAGTGGCAGCATCGAAAAATTTCGAGCGAGTTAATCGGCGGCGAATGGAAAAAGGGGGAAAGAAAGAGAAAGAGAGAGAGAGAGAGAGAGAGGGAGAAAGGGAGAAACATGAAGCCTTTAAAACCGGTGAAACCGGTACGTTTTTCAGATTTTTCATTCGAGAAGCCCTTTCATCCCCACGGAATCCACGGGGTGGATTTTAAACTGACAAAAGAATCAGGAACGATCGAACGTACAGAAAATTACCCGGATACCGGTGACAGTGTGAGAAAGAGAGGAAAAAAATACGCAGTTAGCTATATATATATATATATATTTTTTTTTTTTCGTCCGTTGATCAGAGAGAAATGAAATTTCCCGTGGTCCTTGGAGGACTCCCCTAACGTAAAAGGGTGGGATTGGCCGTGGTGTGCGTCACCATGGTAACGATAGGTCAGGATAGGGATAAGCAACGGTAATGCTCCCTTTTTTCTTTTTTTTTTTTTTTTCCAGCCGGAGGAACCATCTTGCGAGTGGCTGCCGGCGGACACACGTACGCAACACCGATGACGCGAAGCTTTTCACCCCTATATAGCCGGGCACAATTCACCCTTCGACCGAAAAAGAGAGACGAAAGAGAGGAGCGGAAAAAAAAAGAAGAAAAGGGGGGAAAAAAAAAAAACGTGACGCTTTCACCTTCAAAACTGTTACGCCGAAAATTTCCACCGTTGCTGTTTCTAATCGTTTACCGGGAACGCGTTTTTCACCCTTCTCTTTCTCTCTCT